CAACTCACATTTATCAACTCTCTCGCCAAGATTTTACGTCTCCTCTTTTGACTGATCACCGTCGCTTCTACGCTGCCATGAGGGAAATGATGCTGATGCGAAAAGGACATTACAGGTGGCACTAATGGAGTTGGGGCTGGAGCCTGAGACGGGACGGGCGGATAAGAGCCCATCTGAGCCCTAGCTGCGTATGCTTGTGGTTGTGGCTGCGGAGTCACTGCCGGCTGGGGTTGGGCCACTTGAGCAGGATACTAAAAGAATAAGTTCTTAGGCTCAAACACAACCGAAAAAAATAGTAGAAAGTCATACATACCCTCATCTTGCTTGCTCCAGGAGAGGCCGCACTCTGATGACTAGTTGTACTTTGTGGTGGTGGCATTCTTGGTGGATACCCATACCTAGAGGGTTGTGGAGGAATTTGTCCTGGATAGCCGCCTCGTTGATGCCACATCTGCAAATACTGTAGTAGCATTATAGAAAAGGTCCACAACAGGGTAATACGAATTTTTCATTCGAGTTAAGGTCAGGGCTCGGCACAAATGTCTTAAAAGCAAGCTGGATATCGTTTTCGGTACAAAAAGCAAAGGGGTTTCGTTTTTGAAGCCGAAAAGACAGAAATTGCGGCGCTCCTAGTCGACGTTTCGTATATGAGGATTTTTTATGTTTAGGGTTTAGGGTCAAAGGGACTTCGTAAAATTTAGCAAACGAATCAGCGGAGCATGAAGTTTACTCAGATTTTGCAATAATTAAAAAAATAGATCAAAAAAATGGACAAATAATTACCTGTTGCTGTTGTAGATACTGCTGGTGCTGCGGATGAGAAGGATGAGAAGCAGGATGTGGTGCTGGCGCAAATTGCGGAGCTTGTTGTTGAGCACCCGGATGACCAGGAGGAACACCAGCATGTCCAGGATGGTATGGATAACCAGCCGGATATCCGACAGGTGCGCCTACAAGCAAATTTTCAAATTTCAAAGCAAATTTTCTTTTCAGAAAAAAA